AGCGACAAGATGGTCGAGTAAGACGTTACCTTGATTAAGGTCAAGCCACCACACATTCGATTCCCCTTACTCTCAATGACGATGGTGTGGTAACACTCTCATTAAAAGCACCCGAGCATTGCTGGAATTCACTCGTATTTCTTCTCCTAAGTGACCATTTGGTAAGAGCCAGCGAAATTAGCCAAAACCAGAAACGATAAGTATTCTTAGAAGGACGCTAGCCCAGTCCTTTCTCTGACCATGTACTAAGATTGAATCGTGTTCTCTTGCTTTTTCAGCGATGAGGTGCTTGCAAAGAAAATTATAGAAATGATCGAAATGACCAATGAATGATTTAATTTTAGATGGAAAGAGAGTTACGAGAGTTATCAGCCATTTACGTACATAAATTGGATGGACTTCTTGATATGAGAAAGCTATCACTTCCTCGTTGCAGTAGTTGCATTCTTTCTATAATTCTCAAATCGTTCGATTTTTTCAGATTCTACGTTCCTTTAATTTTTCTTCGCTGCCTGGGCCGATTCACTACATATTTCCACAGACAAAATCACTCGCCATTCTCGATATATTTTCACAACATTCGTTAATCTTTTTCAATAATTTTGCGATATCGGCAAGACTATTTTAAAAGTTAGTCAATTTTTCTTTATCTACTTTAACACCGTTCACCATTGCCGGTTTGGCAGAATCGGCTCACTGCGGCTTACTGTGCGTGCGATTGCCTTACCGGAGAGGCGGACAGAAGTAGCAGGTCGCGAAGATCACCGAATTTCACTTTTAACAGCATGTGCAGTCGCCGTTTTTGATGAGCGGTCGAACTCGTGCTTCATGGCCCCGTCGAAGCAACCTGTCATATCACTCAGAGCTCTTGGATAGTCTTAAAATACCGAATGATTTTTGTGTTTGCTGTTAGATGAATCGCCCGAAGGCATCTTAGACGGACATTGGACGCTCGAGGAATCGTTATCAGTCTGATCTTGCCCGTGCAGAAATTTGGCTCATTTCATTCTTCGCAGTTTCTGACTCTAAGAATTTTATGAAGGTACTTTGCAAGAGTTATAAACATTTTCAGCCACTTTTTTACTTTTTCCCTTTATTTGTCAAAACCTATCGAAGTTGTTTGTTGTGAATTCTAAGTCACTAACGATCCTTTTTTTTCTCCAACAGCACTTAGTATTTCTGGTTTATCTGAATTCGTCGGCTATTTATTCAATAGCATAGCTCTCGCCACTTTTCACTGCGCTAACTCCTCTGCTTCCTTATATGGCCCGTGCAGTGAAAAGCAAGCTTTAGCTAGGGAGAAACTTGCCCGCTTTGCCCTTGTCCGACACATAATCTGAATCCCTCCTCACTTTCAAGATTATAACTTGAACCACTCGCTAAGCCTTTCTCTGATTTAAAATATTTTTTTTTTCAAATTTATTTCATTTCTAAACTTTTTATTATTTTTCTCAACTTTTCACAAATTCATGTTTATTATTTACTTCATTTCATTTCGTCACCAACAATTTTCTCCACTAATTAAACAAACAAGTAAAAAAATTTTTTACTTTGAACCTTTTGATTAAGCTAATCTTTTTCTATCTGTAAATAGTGATTAGTACCAAATTGGAAGGCAAAACAGTATTAAATAGATAAATTTCTATTTTTTTTCTAATATTCTAAAATGAAAACGAAAATTAGATCCATAAATTTCTATTTCACCATACAACGGCAGCTGCGTCCAAAAATCAAATTTGTCATTTTACTAAGGTTTCAAGACAATCTATTGAACTTCGGTGCTTTTGGAAAGTTTTTTTTGGATATTAATTTAAGGTTTATGAAATTAAAGGAGCAGCATATTCGAGTGGACAATAACCCGGCTTATTGTGTTGTGAGGGAAGAATCGGCTTCCGCCCCCGATTTTGTAACAACGACGATAAACCTAAAGAATAAAGAACAAGCGAAAAAATTTCTTTTCGCTTATATAAAATAATTATTTCATAAAACTGACTAAATATTTTAAAATATAACAATTCTCGAAACTTAGACCATACACTTTAATTTCAGGTTATTTTGTAGAATGGAAGAAATTTTTAGACGTGTGTAGTTTGTAAACTTGTTTGCGCAGCCGACTTCTTATAGGTCTGCTCTGCCGGTGTTATCAGCGATGTGATAGGTCACAGATGGATCACCAGTGTCAACCGGATTTTTTGATGACAGACTTGCTTCCTTCAGGAAGAGAGCCTGGATGCCTGGTAATTTACAAGTAACAAACAGTCGGTTTTCCTTCCTTCAAATTTGTATAATACATATTATTTTTTGATAATATTTAATTAATTTAATTGTGAAAATGATCTAGAGATGGTTAATTAGAAGCAAATTTTTATTAATCTTTATCATTGTATTGAATCTTTCTTCTTTTTGGTTTATTTTTATATTAAATCCCAGAAAATTTCCCTAAGTTATCAGTTATTATCAGCATTTCTATTTTTTCTATTTTAATGCAATCTTATGTCTAAATTCTAATTTTTTGTTATATTTATTTTTGATTACTTATTATTTTTTTGCGACTTTTGGAATTTTTTCGATTTTCATGAATTCGCCGCATAATATTTTAAAAAATGTTGCAGATTATTATTTTTCAATAGTTAATTCGAAAGAAATTATTTTTAAAGTATATTATATATTTGAGCAAATTGAGAAGAAATTTGTGTTTTTTGATTATAGTTCCAGTATAATACTTCGAAAGATCGATCGCGCGAGATTATTTTTCTTCGGATTTTTCTGGATTTTGTGGGATTCCTGGATGTGGGTAAATTAAGTGGTCACTATTTTTTGTTAGCCTAGCTGTTAGTTAGTTCGCTGTCCTTTTCGATTGGGTCCACCACCGCCATTTTTTTCACGAATATCGCAGTATTTAAAATTCATTAGATTTTTTGCTTAGCTGGAAATTGTTAAGATCAACAATTTCTGCGCATCGCTTCCTATTTTTTCTTCTTTTGCATGTTCTAGAAAGGCTTATCACTTATAGAATATATTTCTTTTTATTTCTTTATACATTATAGAAAAATTATAATTTAGCATCTGTTAATCAGTAGTTTCTAATATTTCAAGCCGTCTTTCCCATATTCTTTCCACTCTCACTGCTTGCACTGTTTAAAATCATTGAGAATCTTGCATAAAGGTTTTTCTTTTATCGCATTTACCTGTCGACATTTGTGATTTCATATTCATTTCTTTCGTCATTTACCGTATTAGAAATGGAAACTGAAAAATTTTAAAATTATAAGAAAAAGCCAACTGCGTATTTTCTTAATAAAAATTATATTTTCTTGGAATTTTATATTGTGGATATATGATTATTTTTCAAAAAGTATATAAGTATATTTTCCATTAGCAGTGATCAAAAAAATGAAATATTATGAGAAACTGACTTGATAAAACTGAAGAGTATTTCTTTGTTAATAACCATCTTATTTTTCTGTTTTCGATTTGCCTGACTGCACAAATTACTGCGGTGAAACCCTAGGGTGATTTGAGGATGGAGGTGTACCACTTGGCTTGACCAGTATTAAGGAATGAGAATCGGTCTTATGCTTGACCTAATTGAAGGAATATGCCATTCTACCTTCTTTGTCTATTTTATTTCAGTCTATTTTATTTTGATCAATTAACTGGTTTGGTTAGATGCAGTTACGACTAGAGTAAGACTTTTCCAAGCCATACCATCCCTAAAACTTGCTGAAGCCACTCATTTTTCCACTCTTCAACCTTTTCAAGCTTTCCTCTGTTTTGTTCAGAGTTCGATTGGTGTCTCCGCTTTTAACGCTACAAGGTTTAGCAAATGGTGAACCAAGAAAGTGGCCTAACCAGTACAGGTGGTTAAGAACGTTGGAGCGTTGGTTACTTTCCATTTCGCGATTTATTTATTTATTTATTTTTCTGGATTTTAACAATAGGTGGTATGATTGAATGTAAATTTACCATTTTCTGGCTCCATTAGTTATTCAGCCAGTTTCGAAATTTCAGCCGCTTGGCAATGGAAATGCAAATGGGTCGGCGATCCCACTCATATAACCATTTGTATTTATTTTTTTCGTGTCTGGAAGCTGATTAATTCTCAACGCTTCTTTAAATGATGTTAATATTATTGTATGCCAGTATTTTTCTTCTCCTTTACATTTTTCACTGTATATGAATTTTGACAAAACATGGTTTGTCATTATTTTTTCTGCTAACAACGCTCAATATTTCTGGTCTGATTGGCTTTACTGGCTATTTGACTAAACCAGGGTGAGACCACTTTCGCCAGAGTATGTCATAGCACCATCCGTATTTCACTACTTTAGTTCTTTCTTTCAATGGAATAAAACGACATTATAATTTAGTTATTATTATTAATTATTATTAATGAAAGCCTTATATAAATGAAAAGTGCTAACAGCTGTGCAACACATGCTTCAATATATATTATTATATCCTTCAGTGTATACTATTCGCGCTCCACATCATTAATAATCTATTTTTTTATAAATTTCAGTTCGAATTTTCTGATTCTGGTTTATTAAATTAAATTGAGAAAGGCAGTTAGATGAAATTAAATTTAATTTAATCAATGATTGTTATTAGTGCATTTCGTTCAATTTTTATAACTCTCTTGTTCTTCAGAAGATTAACAGAAGATACTAGTCTCACTGACCACTGGAGAGTAACAGAAGATACTAGTGTGACTGACCACTGGAGAGTAACAGAAGATACTAGTCTCACTGACCACTGGAGAGTAACAGAAGATACTAGTGTGACTGACCACTGGAGAGTAACAGAAGATATTAGTGTGGTTGACCACTGGAGAGTATCAAATTTCCAAGGTTGTTATGTTTAATTGAAGTAAATATTTTATAACGAGAGCCGTGGTTTCCTTTATTCTACATCTTCACTATATATATACATATATATATACATGTGATTTCGAAGTTTCAATAATATAAAATTTTCTCTTTATATTATGAAATTTTTAGATGCCAATTTCATTGGGTAAACGAGTTTATGGTTTGATTCGAACTACCTTTTCACCTGCCCCAACATCAACGAATGAATTATCTGATGAACTAAAATTAAATTTAAATGGTGAAAATAGTTCAGTACCATCATCAAGTAATTCATTTATTGCTCAGTGTATTTTAAGTGGGTAAGTTTTCATTTTTTCACTTAATTAGTTATTATTTTAATTAATTAGTTAATTTAATATATCGTTCGTTCTTTTATTATTTTTTTCTTCTTTTTTTCTAACAGCTCTCACCATTACTGGTTAGGCTGGCTCCAACGGTCACAAAAGTAAGACGCTTCCAAGCGGCGCGGTCTGTTGCCATCGTTGACGGTAATAGAAGCCATTCCTTTTTCCATCGTCCATATACTGCTGGTCTACCTATACGTTCAAAATCTTTTTTGACCGTATCAGTCCTGGTCTTGATTAGCCCACCTCGCTTTTGATGCCAACCATCACACAGTTTAGCAAATAACGAAATATACATCAATCCTTCTTTATTTTTTAGAAGAAATGAAAAGAAGAATGAAGCTGAAATATACTCGGGAAAAACGGGTCTTGATTTACCAGTTCTTTTAGTGGAACCATTCTCTAGGCGTGTTCGATCTGCATATACGGGTCCAGATGGCGGCTTAATCGAGGTACGATTATTATAATTATTTTTTTCTATTGAGACCTATTGAAAAACAAATACTACGGAAGTGATCGGATTTTTCTCATTCTCTTCATTCATTTATAATTAAAATTGAAAAGATTTTAAAAAATAAATTATTTTCATTAATAACTGAAATAAAATCAATCGCTTAAAGTAAGTATAAAATAAGTGGTGAGTGGTTGGGGTTGGCGTTCATCATTTTTGGTTCAGCAGTTCCGCTGGCTGTTAATATGATTAGATTAGATTAGAGTTTTTTGTCATTTTTATCATTTGGCTAGAAATATAGATGAGCCACGTCACCCGGGTTTTTTAATGACAGTTTCATGCCAGAGTTGAATCCTTGCCTTTCATTAATCTGAATCACTATCCACTGCGCTATCGTGTCTATTAAAATAAAAGTTATAAAAAATGGAAATATGGAAAAAAAATAAAAGATAATAAATAAACAAAATAAACAAGTATTTAAAAAATTAATTATAAATAATTTAAAAAAAATAAATAAGATAAAAAGTGATTATTAAAAAGTGGTTGGCATTGTTAGGTTGGTGGAGTACGTCGCCAACAACTTATCAGTATGGTTAATTTGGATGATGAATTATGCTTAAGTTTTGATGGCGAATCGTTGGATGATTATGATGAAAATGTCAAAATCATTCATTCAAGATTATATGAATCAACGTCAGGGCTTCTTGGATCATGTTCTTCGTTAATCGGTTCCATTAATCCAGAAAACACATTGAGTACTAATGCTGGTGATCAAAATTGTTCTTTAATTTCACTTTCGAGTTTTTATCTCTTATATCAGTTTGACTTGAGACGACTCTTCTCTTCTTATTTTTTGGAAATTCACTATTTAAATACTGAGATCCTGCATAGAATATTGGCTAATTATCTTACAGTGCAATTCTCATTATTTTGGCTGACTTTATTAACTACTGAGCTAAAACCCTTTCGCCAAAGTTATAAGTTACAAGATCTACAAGTTCCACTGGAATTTTACTTTTGATGATTTGTTCTTCTCAGAGAGCAAGGATAGAACTTTGATGTTTGAATAGATAGTCTAACCAATACATCACTCTGCCATACTTCCTCTAATGATTTAATGGAAATAATAAAAATCTGGATTCTACCAAAAATGAAAAAAAAAGGACACAGAAAAAGTAGTTGTAGATATTTGGCTTATATTCAATGTTTACACTGACATTTTGAAAAAATAAATCTTCAATTTAGAAAATTTATACTGTGGATTATAAATCTCTAAATTTCATGGTTTTAGACAATTACGACTGGAAATCATTGGATGAAGATCGTTGTTTTGGTGTATCAGTGTCATTATATGAAAAAAATCCACTGACAGGTATCAATGCTGGAAATCCAATAGCAGATGTGTTCGGCGTCATTGCCCGTGATAATAACGCTATCATTGCACTAGCTGATGGTGTTAATTGGGGTGAAGGAGCTCGTTTAGCCGCGAGGTGTGCAATTAGAGGTGCCATTGATCATCTCAACCAACATCTGTTCAACTCTGAGTGCAGAACTACTACAGTTAGTTTTTGTCTATAAGTAAAAAGTAAAGTGGTTAGAGCCATCATTTCTGGTTAAAAAGTAAAAATTTCTGCCAGGGAGAATTAGATGTAGAAATATATATGAGTATCACCAGAACTTGCGCTTTTTGCAGACATACTGTATCATATCAGTTTAAATTTAATCTTGATTGATATTTTTAAAATTCTTTATTTATTGATTTTAATTTGTACAAAGTAATTAAGCACCAGTGGTTCAGTGGCAAGGTATTTGCCATCGAGGGTCTTGTGTTCGAATTCGGTGGGCCCACGATATTGGGCAGCAATTTCGTCTAACGGAGAGAGCAAAAGAATAGATTGGGTCAGTGGGTTATTGCTCAATTCGAAGCGTCGATGCTGACCCGGGTGATACTAGCGGCTTACCTCTATCGCCATGCTTCCGGCATATTTGTCTAGACCGACAAGCCAGTTGAGCGAGTCTAACAGCAATGATGATTGCTCTTAAAAAAAATTATTAGTTATATTAGTTATAAAAATTATTAGTTAAAAAAAAAGTAGGAAAAAATACGGTGAAAAATTTCGTAATTTCCAGCAAACTTGGTGTGAATCTCGTTTTTTCAAATTTTTTATTCTTATACATCAAATTTAGGAAATATTTCACGCATTACTTGGTGCTTTTCATTCGGCTCATGCACTCATTCTTCAAGAAGGTGGGCTTTTAACGACACTATGTGTTGGTGTAACCGTACAATTGCGGAATAGTAATACGTGGGTTCTGTGTGTGTGTAATGTTGGTGATTCGCTATGCTTTGTCTATAATCCAGTTTATGGAGTTCGAGAGGTTTATGCTTAATTTTACAATATGAAAATAGTTTTAGCATTGTTGTGAATTAATTTCATTTTTTCATTAATATATAATAAAAACAGCCCTATATATTTATCCTTTTGCTAGAAAATTTGTATTTATGTTCTTTTGAAAGTAGTCGCATTCCTTGTTAATCAAATTCAAGGTCACATATACTGAATATATTGAAGAAATTTAAGGTCACTGTTGCTTCACATGATATCTGTCAAATGAGAGATATGCGTGATGCTGGTGGTGCTTTAGGACCTGTTGATGGTATCAATCCTCAGTTGCATAATTTAACGTGTTCGATGACTTTTGTTGAACCAGGTTGGTATCATTCTTCCACACTGCCTCAGTTTCTTCGCGAATTGATCCTGAATAGATCCGATAATAGTTTTCTATGTTCATGGATTGTTATAAGGCGTAAAAGAAAATATAATAAGAAGACAAGATTTATGTGAAGTTTAATATACGAGATTTATGATTAAAGAAGTTTTTGCCCTTCAGACGACGTGGTTTTCATTACATCAGATGGAATATCGGATAATTTCGATCCTGTTGTTGGAAAATTTTGTGTTGTAAAAAAGGAGGGTGATATCGAAGAAAATTGTGATTTAAATAAGCCCGTAACAATGTGTGTTTTACATTTATATCCTTCCACATTCTTTTATAATTTTATTTTTACTCTTATATTTGTACTAGTAAATTTCGCAAAATACCCTATATTTTGTGATTGTTTTGGTCCGTCATTTCAAGGGATTTTTTTCAGAAAGTCTTTTTAAAGTCTTTACTCCACGAGCTCTTGTTCAGAGTAATCTATTTAAGGTTCCCTTTTTTGCAATTATCGTTCCTTCGTTTGTGAAATCCATTATTAAATTGTTTATTTTTTTCAGTATCAGTGAAATCGGTAAAATTTTTTCTTACCTAGCCTATATCAATTGATTTATCACTATAGATCAGTGAAGAATAGTGGTGCACACCAGGATGCGGAATTCGTACGTACTCGAACATGTAATGCATCTCTGCCATGTGTTGATGCCGAGCAGCGTCATGAATTGATGTTGATGAGGTAAATTACTTATTGCGCAGTCCGCTTTCTTTTACATTATAAAAGTGTAACCAATAAAAAATAGCTAATAAATGTTTAAGCTTCAAAAAAATATTTAGGATGGGTGATATAATATCGAATGGAATACTGCCACCTTCATCTCGATCCCGTTTACCTTCAATTAATCATGTAACAAATACCGCAATTGTGTCTACTAGTCAACTCTGTCATAATCTTATTCAGTTCGCAATGCAACTTTCAATGTTAATCCTTTCATTAATTTAATTCCATTAATTTAATTAAAGAGCAGTATGGCCAGCTGTTCATTAGTTATCATTTCTGGCATTATAGTTCGATCCCTTGGGAGAAGTAATTTTTTGAAAATCTTATCTCATATCTATTGTCCTATATCTATTTGCAAATAAACCTCCCGTGAAAATGTTTCTTATCCTAATAATAACCAGAGAGCTTAACCAGGAGTGGTGACTGCGGTTAGCGGTTAACTAATTGGTAATTTTAATGCCTTATCCAAGAATATTTTTGATTAACTAAATAAAAAATAGATAAATGGTTAATGCATACAATTCAATTTTTGATTAGTCCAGCTCCACTGGGTGGGCAATAGAAATATAAAGGCCTTGGTTGATTGATTTACTCTTGGTCGAACCTCTAGTGCCCACTGTATATGGAAGCAACCATATCATTCGATTTCAACCTATTACTCCTCTTCAACAGCCTCTCACCAACTAATCCTGTCCCTCTGCTTAATTAATTAATAAATATCTTTATTGGATCCAAAAAAAAAATTTTAGGGCAAAACGTCGAACATTAGAAGATCCTGAATTGTATCGCTCTGAGAAACATTTGTCAAGATCGGAACAACGAAACCGACGCAAAATGGTTCGATATAAACTAAGCGAAATGCCTGGAAAATTGGATCATGCGACTGTCGTAGCATTTAAAGTTGGGCTGTGGCCGGATCATTGTGAAATAAATGATAATATTGTTGAAACAGGTTTTTTTTATTGTAAGAAAATGTTTCCTTTTTCTTCTCTTACAAATGTTATCTTGCACTGCTTTTATTTTTACTTTTTTTTTAAAATTAATTTAATGTAAAACACCACAGCCCTCCATCGTGATACTTGATGGTTTTCTTGATGCTCCGTAATTATAACAAACTTCAATTGAATTAAAATTTCCTACTGACTAGGCTGACCATCCTGGCTGCAAGGGTGAGGAGCTTCTAAATTTATAGATTTGATGCCATATCTCAGATTAATAGAGTCCACTCGTTTTTCCACCTTCTGAACCAGTATATTCTTGTTATTTTATTATGCTTTCCTAAGCCATAACATTTCGAATTCAATCTAATTCTATCATTAATTTTGGAAAATTTTCGATTATGAAAAAATGGAAGTATGATTTTATGTTTGATCTTATCAAATTAATTACAGTAAGAGATGAGACAATTTTAAATTTGGAGGACAGTGGTGATCAAGCAATATGGACTATAAATTTAAGAAATAATTCCGACAGCGATATGAAAGTCGACCAAATTGATAATGAAATTGTCGAAATCTCTTGCAATTTACATTTCTCTGTTAAAAATGATCATAAAGCGACAGCAGAGATCCACTTGATTGATAGCACTAAACCAACATATTCAGCCATAATAAATATAATTTCGGATAATTGTTTGCAAGAGCTTCTTGCACATATAGATAGCGATAATAATACGAGAAATACGAGAAATCGTGCGCGAAGTCCTTATGAAGAAACACCAGTAAGATCTTATTTTTAAATATATTTATAATTACTTCCACTCAGCGAAGGGTTAGATTCGTTTTCTTTTTCAAGAACTTCAAAAAACCTCGTTTTTTTTACCGTTTATTTGGTTTCCTTAATTTGATTCTCAGAGAATGGTTGAATGGTATGTCGCTGCAACCATAGGCGCGATTTCTTTTCTTTGATGGAGTAGTCACTGGTTTTTGAAAATAAAATCCTGTGGTGCTGGGAACCATAAAGAATTCTTACGAATTACATTATATAAAACCATTCTCATAAATTATTCAGTTTCTCAGTTTTTATTTAAGCGTAACTTTTAGAAGCACTACATTTTTCTCATCCAAATTTATTTTTAAGATAGCTTATCGAGTGAACCAAACAAAAGTGCCTCTCAAAAAGCATGCCAGAGGAACGATTGGTCGTCATACATTGTCGGTTGATGTCGCATGGCTGAAAAAAGTGGTGGTATCTCGAAATAGTTCAATTAGCGAAGCATGTAGGGAAAGCAGTTCTTTAAGGTTTGTGCAAGTCGTTCACCCTTTTTTCATTCTTGAGATATTGGATCAAATATGGATCCAGAACTTCAGCTGTACCTAGTTTGAATGAAAGCTACTGGCTGTATCACAATAGTGTTTCGGATAACTCAGCGAAGAATGAAATCGCGACTGTAACGATGAAAGGACACAATCAGCTCAAATCGTATGGAATCCTGTAAATTATCATCAGTATTTGCATACGTTATGCACGGATAATTTGTCTGTACGAGGTTCAACTTGTTAACAACATTTCTCCTAAAAAATGATGTGATAATGGTTGTGGAAGATTGGCGCGTATAGAGCGCGAGGATATTTCTCATCCACTATCTTGTGGTCCATATGGCATTGGGATATGGTGCGCCAATAGAGATCGTTTTTTCCACTATGCTAAGGAATATTAATCTACCAACAATATATACTTTCAGCATTGCAGAAAATATTTAATTACGTGGAATTTGCCAGACAATCAATATTCTAACAGATTGACTATATTTTGGTCAGTCACCGATGGAAGTCCTGTGGAGTGCTAGGACATCCGCGCATATAGCTAACGAACCATGTTGTGGCTAGAATCAACATTCCAATGAAATTTATAACGCGGAGGACACAGCGTTCCCAAAAATCTTAATTATTTCAAGTCAGACATATTTCGAACTGATGAACTGAAACCATGTTTTTATCTTTGGAATAGCCGGTCAATGACTTGGTTCCAGTTGAAGTTCTGTCTCCAGGAGCAGTTCTGCAGCGATAGCGGCGAAATGTGATAAAAATCGATACTGCAGCGATATGGCAATGAATATGGAGACAACTCGAATATGTGATTACCAATTTAATTCGCCTATTTCGCTAGGAGTTCGAGAAAAGTGAAATATTATGAGATCAGGATGGAACCCTGTTATCAATTAAAGTCCATCAAAGGTCATTTGCTTTTAAAGCCATGCGTGTGCAATTTTAAATCACCAACCCTTCACGAAGTAATTTCTGTTATTCACAAGTTTATAACCAATAAAATCACCAGGGAAAATGAATGAATGAGCTAAACTCTTCAAATGTTACCCAGTGTCTCTTTTAATATACCTCCACAAATTATATACACTGGTGTGGGAGAGACAGCAAATCTCATATGACTAGAATGAGGCAGTTCTTCTTCCAATTTCCGAAAGAAATCATGGGATATATTGGGACCACTATCATAACCTGCTAGGTTAGTTTTATGCTTCTCTTCTGGTGGATAGACTCACCGCAATGCGTGATAGCGCGGCGTGTTCTAACCAGACCGGATTTAGTCCAGGATATGTTTGTGCTGACCAAATTTTTACGAGTGCGTTGGAAAGTCATTTTATGTGTCGACAGCCTCCATACTTCATTGATTTTACTGATTCGATCAACAGAGTATCCCCCTGGCAAGTTATGCCAGAACGGTGTTCCAAAGAAATTAATTTTTTATAAAATATAATTATATAATATAATTAAAAATGTTTTAACTCCTACGTAAACGCATTGTTCGTATGTGGAAAGTTCTTTTCGTATCTACCTGGCACAATATCTAACGCTACTGTAAGATTATGGAACTTGCCTAAGTATATGGGAAATATGGGAAATTGACATATTTTGAAATAAATATGCATGTTAATGTTGCGTTCTCTTCCCTAAAGTTTTTAACTATGCGATAGATTGGGTTATTGGCTTGCAAACTGTATAAATAACAAACAGTTCATGGATTTTGAATGCCCGATGGTTTAGTCTTTTTCGCTGAAAATTACGAACGATTATGAAAGACCTGGCGCAACAACAAAAACTAGCCTTCAAACCTATATAAATGTAAAAGAAATTTTATATATCAGATTCTAATAAGGTTGAAATCTAATAAGGTTAAGGCAGATTCTAATTTATGCAATCTCATCAATGGTTCGAGAAGTATTGGACTTTAAACGTCTCCAAATATTCTCATTCCTAAAAGGGAAATTCTAGCTCGGATGGTTGCAATCAGAATTGTCTTTTTTCATCTCATTCATTCGCGTAGAAGGTTCTCTGCAACCGCAAAATCAGCCTCTAAAGAGAAATTCGCATCTAATTAACGCAATATATATGTCCACCGTCACTAGCATAAAGACTACCATCAGAATCATCAGAAAGCGATATCTACCGATTTTCTCTGTTCTTCGTCATTCAGCACAGGTCTTAACGCACACCTCGTTAAATCCTATGATGAATGACGTTAAAAACAAGAAAAGAGAACCAAGGTATGGACGAATAGAACCAGGAGTGGTTTTGAATAGTCCAGGGATATACAGGTTTAGGTGGCGAAAAAAGATGTTTCAATTTCTTTGTCATCGGATCGGGAGCTTCTTATCTTATTCGTCAGTGGAGCGGGTCAAAGTAGCAACGGTGTAAATTCCCAAAAA